AATTTTTTGTTGTTTAGTAAAGTTAATTTTTTGTTGCAAAAATGCATTTTTTATCGCTTTTTTATAATTTTCAAATTAATTTTAACACACAAAAAAAAAAAATTATTTTTTTTAGTTGAATATTATTGCTTCATATACCCCAACCCATAATAAAATCACTCCCCAAATTAAATTTTTAAATTTTTTTTAGTATTTTAAAATTGTTACTGTCAAAGTTTTCCATTTATTTTTTTATTGTTCTCTAGATAATTAGAGCAGTTCAATTGAAAAGTTTTATAAATATTTATTTACGTCATTTTCAATTGAAAAGTTTGTTTTATAAATATTTATTTACGTCATTTTGTTCGAATTAAAACGATTTTGTTTTTTATAAAAAATGATCGGAAGATTTTGATGTCATTACTTCTAACAATTGGCAAGTTTTTAGCTTTTACGAAATTAAATTATAAAACAATATATATAACTTATATTAAATGTTCACTTATTAAACGGTTTCAATTTAATAAACTTTTTTATTATTTAATTTTAATATAAACATTTTGATTGTAAAGAATAACAGAAAGAGTTTCAAAAAAACCTTTGTTTAAAGCAATTTTCACTTTATAATTTATTATTATTTAATAAAAAATTTTTTATAAATTATAAGTAAACACTTAAAAAGTAAGGAACCCTGTTAAAAGCAGTTCAAAAATTTTTAGTTTAGTGGTTGCATATATGCCTATATAAAACTTATTGTTAATAAATTAGGCTTATACATTGCATTTAGGGTGAGGTTATTGATATTGTACCTTTTAAGAATAAAGTCAAAAATAGAGAAAAAATACAAAGTAGAAGCAATGAGACTTTATTGTATTTTATAATTTGGAGATAAACTGTTCTAAAAAAATTGAAATATGTCAAAATTTAAACGTTGGTATTTGATAGGGAACTAAACTTTAAAAAATATGCTATTGGTACAATTAAGGAAATAAGATCCAAAATTGTACTATTATAATCCAATATTTTACCTATACCTTGATTTTACAAATACTATATTAATTTACAGTACATTTTGAATAATTTTTGTAAAGATCTTTTTCTGTGTAAAATGTAAAATGTTTTGTATGTAAAAAAGTCTTGAATTTAATAAGTTTTATTTAATCAGCATAGGCCGATGGTTATCAAGGCCAATGCCGGTGGGCTAGTACGAATTTGGGCCAGTAAGCTGGCCTAAATCAGGTCAATTTTTACAATTAACAGATGAATTTAAATGCTTGTAAACATTAGATTGTTCGTCACTTGTAAAATGCTCGTGAATCCTCGTTGTTAAGTGTCTGGAGGTTTCTCCAATATAACTGGCATTACATCCAGCAAAAGAAAATTTGTAAACAAAATTGGATTTGAGTAGCTTAGGAAGTGGCCTTTTATACACAAACTGTTTTGTAATTTGTTAGTAGTCAAAATTAAATTAATTGCAACATCTTTACAATATTTTTTAATGATTTTATTAATTTTAGATTTAGTAAAGTTTGAGTAAAATCCTATAAAAGGAAGTTTTTAATATCTTATATTAGGGTTATATATATTATTTATATACTATTTATAACAATCAATCATTTACAAATGTTAAATTTAAGTTAAAAACTAATCTTAAGTAAATACCATGTATTAATAATACAAATAATAATGATAATAATAATGATGATAAACTAACAGTTATAAGAATAAGAAAACTATATAATAATAAACCAATATTAATTTTAAAATTACAATTGAATATTATGCACAGAAAAGTTACAAACAGTTATGTACTGACAAAATGTAACAACCTACCAGTAACTTTACTGCAAAAAAGTAACAAATTAAATTCTGCAAAAAAAGTTAAAATGTTACAATGATTTAATAAATATAATAATCTTAATATCAATAATCATAATAAAAACAATAAAAGTAATATTAACATTTCATTAAAAAATAACAATAAATAAAAACATGCCACAAACATATACATTTAGTCACAAAAAGTATAGTTTTCATAAAAAATGAAAACATTCAAATAAAAAAGGAAATCTTATCATAATACCCAGCAAACATATATCGCCTTTTAAAATCAATAAAATTCTAAAAATTTTGTTTTTTGTTTAACAGATGGATTTTACTTTTTATCAATAAATAATAAAAAATAAAAAATAATTTCAGTGTTAATTTTTTTGGTGGATATTGGTTATTAGATAGATTTTTTATGTCCTTATCAAATCCAATCCATGTGTTGTTGATTTTATATGTTCTATCAATCAAACAACATAAGACTAATTTTATAACAATAGAGAACAAAATTGGAAAATTTTTGTAAAAGACCTGTATATGTTTTTTTGTGATGTTGAAAGCGAAACAGACTTATTGATAAGAACATCTAAAAATGCAATTTGATTATCTTGTTCTTTTTCCATAGTAAATTTTAAGTTTTTATGTTGTTTATTAAGATGTTTAAAAAATTATATATATATATATATATATATATATATATATATATATATATATATATATATATATATATATATATATATATATATATAAATATATATATATATATATATATATAGGCCTTGGCGGGAAGAAATAAGTACAAGAGTGGTGAAAAGCACTCTTAAAACGAACATTGCGAGCTATGTGGGCTGCTTCTCTAAGTTCTTTAGACAAGCATTATTTTTATTGCTTATAAAAAAAGTTTTATATTTTCTTATTGTGTAGGGAATGTAGGGATTTTTTGAATTGTTAAAGATAATTATTAAAATGACTGCGTTTTTTACTTTAATTACAATGATAATTAAGCTTTTGAAAGAAAAAATTATACTTTTGTGAGAGCTGTAAATTGCTCCTGTACACCATTTTAGGGGAGTATGGGCGAGAGATTTTGTTTTATTAAAATACTCATTACACATAAAAGAATCAGTAGCATGAAATTTTGATATTGAAATATATTTTTTTTATAGAAAATAAAGTGATTTTAAGTAATATGATTTATAATGAAATTTCCATAATTTTAAGGGCGTCCCTCCTCCAATGAAGGGGGAGGGGTTAGTCCCTGAACATCAGGTGAAGGAAGGGAGGAGGATAGTCATTGATATGCTCCCTTTTAAATAAAGCTTAATAATGCTTAGTTCTTATTTTAAATTTCAGCATTTGGCCTAAATATGAAGATTAAACCAGCATTAGTTATACAAAGTAATGTGTAACTTTACGTAAAAATCTGGCTTTTTTCATCACTTTCTTTGGATAATATGGAATGAAAACCACCATATTTCTTTTAGATCCTACCCTACTATTAATAAATAGTCCAAATATACCACATAGAAGAAAAGTTGGCTTTCTGAGTTGATTTTAAAGGTCCCTGCCAGACCTCTGAAGTTTTATATATTTTATACACAAATTGGGCTGGTGGGAACCTCTAAAATCATCTGACATAAAAATTTTTGGGCTTAAATTATTTTTATATTAATGTTCAACCATTCCAGGTAAGACCAACATGATTTTCAAAAATTGGTAAAATATGAATTAGCCAAATATGTATGTGGTAAAATGGTTTAACAAGATCCATAATAATAAAAGTATTTTTATCCAATTTTCTCACATTTTCTCACAATTTTTTATTCTGAACAAAAAATATTATCATTGCTCAGAATGAAAATTATTTTTCTTTAACACCCCAATCAACGAATTAACACGTATTAACACCCCAACCAACGTATTAACACCCCAACCAACGAATCATGCAACTGCTAACAAAATTAATATTGAAACAAAAGATTGATGCCCCATGCCAAACTCTCAGTTGATTTAGGCACTCCTTTGTGATAACAGGCTATAAGATAGTCCATTTATGTACAGAAGCCTCTGGCAGCGTGCTATTTCAGTGTAATGCTACAGGGCTTATCTAAATTTGCAATTATTGTTGTAAATATTATAATATTTATCTATCTTGTACTTTTATTTTTTCAAGCGGCAGCATGGAATATAAGAAGTTGAAGACGTGTCCCCAATATGACCAGCTAACAAATGGAATTGACAGTCAACTTTTTTTTTTGATTAAATTTTTATCTTAGCGATAGTTCTTTATGACCGAACTTTATAAATACAAAAATAACTTAATAATTATTTTTCATGTTTTTAAAACTCAGATTTTTTTCAACCAGTCAACCATGACTGATTCGCAAACTTGACTATATTCGCAACCATGACTGGCAAGAACTCATCTTGGAAGGTCAAAACGGCAATTTTAGTCATGACCGACAGTCCAGTTGTAGATTAGAGTTTGAGCAGGTACTATCTACATAAAGACAGTAAGTAAATTTTTGATTCGCAAACTTGACTATAAGTTTGAGAATCAAATACTTTTTCTTAGAGTTGTACTAACAACTGAGAAGTGTTAAATATATCAGAAACCAATCCTGGTTGTCAAAAAATATTTGCATTTTTTTTTTTGTTATGTTTAGCTAGGTGATGTTTTGTTTTAATTTTAATTGTCATTTATATAAAGGTTATGAACAACCTCAAACCCATTCTCCAAACTACCAATAATCGGTTAAACTTTAATACATAGGATTTATCTTACACTTTTGGCTGAAAACTACTCAAACAGAATTTTGCTGGATGATTGTGAAGAAAAAAGTAAATTGAGAAAAAATTTGTATTAAAGAGTAAACAATTAAAACAAGAAAAAAAAAGCTCAGAAAAACCTCATTGATTTCTATATACATTTATAGTAACACAAACATTTTTACATGATGTTGATTTTTAAATGATGTCAAATACTAAAGGATTTATAATTGTTTGCATTTGAAAGAATTCTGTAAAATACTTATGTTATTATAATGACTACAATATCTATAAAATAATGGAGTAGGTGTCTTGAAAATGATAACAATATTTTAATAATCATTTTAATAATTTAATAATAATAGTTTTAATAATCATAATAAAATAGAAATAAAAAATTCATAAAATTTACAATACAAACTTACTTTAGCTGATTTAATTCCTGGATAAAGTATTTCCAATTGGTCACCTGCATTGGTTTGGTATGATGATAGAAAGTTTCCATTTTGTTGGGCTATGACTGACACCTTCAATTAAGAATAAAATCAAAAATTAATTAAAACAAACAGTTTAACAATACCATAATATTAAAAAAGTTTTTCTGTTTGAATAAATACTATAAATGTATATATATATATATATATATATATATATATATATATATATATATATATATATATATATATATATATATATATATATATATATATATATATATATATATATATATATATATATATATATATATATATATATATATATTGAAAATATAAATATATATATTTTTTAAATAAAACAACAAACACAAAGAAATTTTTAACCTCTGCTTGATTTCCATGTTCTTGATGCAATTCACCACTGAGACCAGAGTATGTAAATGATACACGTATATCTCCAACCTTTAAAATATTAGACAAACAAGTAAATAATGTGTAACCAATGTATAATTACCAATGTGCAGTGGGCCAAGATCAAGATTTAATGGACAAAAAATCTCAACTCCTATTTTTAACTTTCAGATTTTAATCAGCGACTCTTATCATTAACAAGATCTTTTTTTGAAAAACCATGCTCTACCATGTTTGTTTTATGTTAAAAAAAATGTTGGAACATTTTTTTAAACAAAGAATACTATTTATCAGATTTTTTTATCAGAAATTTGAAATAAAAAAATTGAGTAAAAAGCAAAACTTGAAATTTGAGTAAAAAGCAAAACTTGAAATTTGAATAAAAAGCATACAAAACTTGAAATTTAAGTAAAAAGCATACAAAACTTGAAATTTAAGTAAAAAGCAAAACTTGAAATTTGAATAAAAAGCAAAACTTGAAATTTGAATAAAAAGCAAAACTTGAAATTTGAGTAAAAAGCAAAACTTGAAATTTGAATAAAAAGCAAAACTTGAAATTTGAGTAAAAAGCATACAAAACTTGAAATTTAAGTAAAAAGCAAAACTTGAAATTTGAATAAAAAGCATACAAAACTTGAAATTTGAATAAAAAGCAAAACTTGAAATTTGAATAAAAAGCAAAACTTGAAATTTGAGTAAAAAGCATACAAAACTTGAAATTTGAGTAAAAAGCAAAACTTGAAATTTGAATAAAAAGCAAAACTTAAAATTTGAATAAAAAGCATACAAAACTTGAAATTAAAAAAAGCTAGAATAAAAGTTGAATACAATTTTCATTAGTTTCAAGCTTTTTAATACATCCCAGATTCTTTCTTTGAGAGCTAATATATGGATCTGAACTACACAATAATCTACAAATAACATCTTTATTAGTGACCTTTCTTGATAATTTTCTTGTATAGTTCTATAATTTTTAATATCATTTATTACTGGTACTGATTTATCTCTTACTGGTACTAGTTTATCTCTTACTGGTACTGGTTTATCTCCTACAACTTTAGAACTATAAATGAGCATTTTATATACACTTTGAGGCATTGGGAACAATAGGTACAGAGAAACATCGAGCTCTGCTATTTCTTTGGTATATTTTTCAAGTTCACCAGCGTTAACTTAATGTTTTCAAAAAAACAAAGAATTATGTAGAATAGTTTCAACAGATTTTTTAGATACAGTTGCTACACATATTTGTGCAAATATTTTTCTATGCCTAATTTCAATCTTAAACATGCTACACCTAAAACTTTTTCTGGAAATTAGTTTAAAAAATGGCGGTAAAAGTTTTTTTTTGACTAAATCAATAACATTTCTATACCAACAAAATCATATGAAATAATGATTTTCCAGCTAATGATATATTCAAAAAATCTGCAAAAAATCTGAAAAAATAAGTAATTTTAACCTTAATTGTACATAATTATGAATAAAATACCAAATGTTGTTTTTTCTACTGTGTCCCTTATACTTCATCCTAGGTCCATATAATAAAACTTGGCATAATATTTATTATATAACAATTAAAAATTTATTTTAATTGTTTTAAATGCAATTGCAAAATGAATGGAGAGTATTGCAAAATACTGTTATTTATTTTATTATTATATTATCGTATATAAATACTAACTTAGAAATAGTTTGTATATAAGGTTTCCAGTAGAGGTTAGTACAAAAAGATAGTCAGAGATGATGTAAAGTAGAAAACACAGTAAAAATGTTGCCATTCATCAATATAGAAATATCAACAAGATTGCAGAGACTTTTTAATGACTTTGCCAGATACACCATATCACCCAGAGCAATAGAATTTGCCTCACCTCTATGTAATTATAATTTCAAACCTTTCTGTAACTACAGTTATCAGGTCAACTCCAAATTGAGATGATTCAAGCCCATGCGTTTCTTGTGTCATCGACAAATAGAGCCACCTGTGAGCTTTTTAGGATGATCATTAATGTTGGTTAGAAACGGTAAAGGGCTGAGGATAGAAGTTAACCTTGTTAGCTAATATTGACACTAGTGTGAATTTGCAGCGTTTAGTGCAACAGGGTCTGTATGCTTTGTGATTGTGATGTTATTGTTGAGATGTTTTGTGTTGATAGACAACTTGGCTTACCTTCTCGCTGGTGTCTATCGTTAAAAATGATTATTAGTTTGTTTCCTTACTGAAACTTGCTGTTTCTAAGGTGTTGTCAATAGTTCATATAAACATTCTCAAAGAGTAAGTTTCTTATTTCATATTTATAACTTTTTTTTAATTTTTAAAACAAATAAACATTTATTTTCAAAAAATTATGCATCTGCGTTTATAATCATAATTTTATTACAATTTTAGGTAGATTTTCTGCTGTTACACCTGCTATTGGTGTTGTAAGTACTCAAAATTTCAGGAAGTTCTATTGCTGTAAATTATTTTTATTCAAATCTAAATTTAAACTTAATTAAAGAATCTTCTATCTGTTAAATAAGTAATTCTGAATGATTCAGATAGATTTCAATCCCCTTACGCAGTGATTTACTAATTGGTTTGTAAATTAAGTAGTAATTTTAAACAGATGAATTAATTGGATTCCATGATCCCTCATGCATATTAGCATGGAGTTTTTATAATATAACCTAAATTTTTTTCTAAAAGACTAGGTAAATATGTAAAAACACTTCAGTCTGTAGAACTCAGGTCAGGTCAGGTCAGGATAATCGAGATCAATCTTGCTACTGGTATCACGTAACCCAGTACCACCTGCCTCAAGCCCTGCTGCCTTGCAGAGTGTGCTCTTCTTATGCAAAGGCTAGGAGAAATAAACTCCGACTAAAAATTCCCCTGCCTTGAGTAAAGGCTAGAGATGGTGTCTTGATAAAAACACTCATCTTGGGCAGATGTTAACTGCATCCAGCTAAACATCCCCTGCCTTGGGGCTCTTGGTTGAGTAAAGGCTAGAGATGGTGTCTCGATAAAAATACTCATCTTGGGCAGATGTTAACTGCATCCTGCTACTGTCTTGTAGAAGGCCTCCTAGGCAAAGACTTTAGGGGTAAGCAGAAAAATTCTGCTAACCAGCCTCGAACCCCTTCTTCATCTATTAGGCTGGCGTAGATGTAACCTGTGTTACATTGATTCCTGCTTAGGATGATGAATACTGGATCTCCTTGACTCTACTCATAGAATTTTGCTTATGCCTCCTTGATAATGGCTATGCAACTCTTCCTGTTATCTCCATATGAGGGTACAGCTCTAAAACTCAGTTTAATGGTTCTGAGGCCGGCTGGTAGTAAGGTTTCCCGAACTCTGTGGTAGCTCTCAGAGAGACTGATTCCATCAACAGCTGCAAAATATCAGAGTATTAACAGTGCCATGTTGCGCATGGATGGTGTCCCTGTTAATGCTTTTGGTGTGCATTGTCAAGGCCACATAAGGAGCCCTATGTCACGGCTTAGGGTTAATTAGCAGGACTGAGACAACTGCATAGCTCATTGATTAGGAGGCTGTGCTCTATCTATGAATGAGTCAAGTTCTCATTAAACCTAAATCATGACCAAAGTAAGCAAAAATTTAAAACCTAAAAAACCATCCCCACCACCTAAATATTTTAATATATCTTTTACAAATATTCGCGGTCTACGAAGCAACTTTCCATCAGTTGAGTCTTACCTCCTGCAAAATTCACCAGACTTGCTTGCAATCAGTGAAACAAATTTTAGTTCTGCAATTCCTTCTTCAGATGTCAGTGTTGATGGGTACTATCCTTTGATTCGTAAAGACTCCAATAGTCACATGCTAGGTTTAGGAGTATACATACGCATTAATTCCCCTATTTGTCGTGAAATCAGGTTCGAATCCTTTGACCATTCTTTTATGTGCTTTCGCCTAGCACCTCTTCACTCTATCACCTTTCTCTTTGTTCTTTATCGTTCTCCTTCTTCCCATGATTGCACTCTTTTAGATGTTATCTCTAATCAAATTGACCATGCCCTCTCTCTTTACCCCTCTGCCAATATTGTTGTTGTTGGTGATTTTAATGCCCATCACACTGAATGGTTTGGCTCTAACACCACTGATCCTGCTGGCACTAAAGCCTTTAACTTCTGCGTTTCTCAATCTCTTACTCAGATAGTTAACTTTGTGACTCGTTTTCCTGACAACCCTAATCATTTACCTTCACTCCTTGACTTATGTCTTGTCTCTGACCCTAGCTTATGTTCAGTTTCTCCCTTTTCTCCCTTAGGTGGTTCTGACCATGCAATGATCTCTATAAATCTTTCTTCTCGTACTTCTTTTTTGGGCTCACCTTATCATCGCACCACCTACTACTACCCTAAAGCTGACTGGGATTCCTTTCGTGATTTTCTTCGTGATGGTCCTTGGGCTGATGTTTTTTCTCTCTCAGCTGACAAATGTGCCTCCTACGTAAGCTCCTGGATTCAGGCTGGAATGGAAGCTTTTATTCCTTCTCGTCGGTTTCAAGTCATACCTCATTCTACTCCATGGTTTTCTCCTTCTTGTGCGGCTGCTATATCCAATCGAAACCATTTTTTTCATCTTTTTCAAAAGAACAACTCTCTTGAGAACAAACGGCTATTTATTATTGCAAGAAATCGATGTAAAAAGGTGCTTTCTGATGCTAAACTCCATTATTCTCAGTTCACTAAATCTCGCATCTTATCGCAGAAGTTAGGCTCTAAAGACTTTTGGAAAATCTTCAACAGCATTGTTAACAAGGGTAGATCTAACATTCCATCTCTCATTCATGGGACTGATCTTGTTACCTCTCCCAGGGATAAGGCAGAACTGTTTGCAAAGAACTTTTCTTCTAATTCCACTCTTGAATCTTATGGACATTCTCTTCCTTCCATTCCAGTCAAACAGGTTGACCCATTGTTAGACATTCAAATCACTCCGGCTTCTGTTGCTAAAGTCATATCTCAATTAAACTCGTCTACAGCTTGTGGTCCAGACAACATTCCTGTCACAGTCTTGCAGAATTGTTCTCCAGAACTTTCTTCAATTCTCTCTAAACTATTTAACAAGTGTTTGACTGAGTCTTGTTTTCCTGCTTGTTGGAAAATGGCATCTGTGGTTCCAATATTCAAAAACTCTGGAGAAAATTCTGACCCCTCCAATTATCGTCCGATCAGTCTTCTTTCTGTTATTAGCAAGGTCTTTGAGTCTTTGATCAACAAATTCCTCACATCTCATCTTGAGTCAAATAAACTGCTGTCAGACAATCAATACGGTTTTCGATCCTCTCGCTCTACGGCCGACTTGCTAACTGCTGTAACTGAAAGATTTTATCGTGCATTAGATGGAGGCGGTGAGGCTAGGGCTATTGCTCTCGACATATCTAAAGCTTTCCACAAAGTTTGGCATGCTGGTCTTCTCCATAAGCTTGCTTCATATGGTGTTTCTGGGAAAGTTTTTGAGATTATCAAATCATTTTTTTCTGACCGGTTTATTAAAGTCATCCTTGAAGGCCAACACTCTTCTTTATTTCCAGTAACTTCTGGGGTTCCCCAAGGTTCCATCCTGGGCCCTGTTTTGTTTCTTATCTACATAAATGATCTTCCTGACAACCTTTCATCTAAAGTAGCTCTTTTTGCTGATGACTCAACTTTATACTCCTGTCTTGACAAAAAGTCTTCTCTTTTCGATCGCCTAGAACAAGCAGCTGATCTTGAATCTGATCTCACTTCAGTAATAGATTGGGGTTCACAGTGGCTTGTGAATTTCAACTCTAAAAAAACCCAATAGCTTACTGCAAACAACTACCGTAATATGGTCAACATTCCTATATTAATGAATGGCAATCCTCTTACTGAGTCGTCCTCTTTACGTCTTCTTGGATTATCGCTTACTACTGACATTTCATGGAAACCATATATACAATCGATTGCTAAATTAGCTTCTGCTAAGGTTGCTTCTCTTTATCGTGCTCGCCATTTCCTTACTTCTGATTCCATTCTCTACCTCTACAAATCTCTTATTCGTCCCTGTATGGAATACTGTTGTCATATTTGGGCTGGTTCTTCTAACGATTCACTCTCTCTTCTTGACAAGGTCCAAAAACGCATTGTAAATGTTGTTGGACCTGGACTATCTGCTAAGCTTGAACCTCTTTCCCATCGTCGTAAAGTTGCATCTCTTTCTCTTTTCTACAGATACTATCATGGTCACTGCTCAAAGGAGTTATCATCTCTAGTTCCATCAACTAAAATTCATTCTCGTTTTACTCGTCATTCAGCTAAGTCTCATTCGTTTTCTGTATCTGTCCCTGCATGCTCTAAAAACTTTTATTCATCTAGTTTTTTTCCCCGCACTTCAATTCTTTGGAACTCTCTCCCATCTTCATGTTTTCCTGACTCATACAACCTTCAACTTTTCAAGTCTTCTGTCAACCGTTTCCTTGCTCTATAACTCTGTTCTTTTTTTTTCCTAGTAACTCCCAACTTAATAGTGGTTGCTTGCAGCCTTGTTGGGAGTGAATGCAAATAAAAAAAAAAAAACAAAAAAAAAACTAACAATTCTGGATAATTTCGACAGATGCAAAAAAAAATTATTGCATTTAATTTTATTATAGTTTTGTACCCTATCAAAAATTTCAGCTCAAATGTAATAACAGTTGGAAATTATCAAATATATTTAAAGTCAAATTGCCCAATAGGTTGTGCAAACCTTTTGTAGTAATTTACTGACCGGTCTGTAAATTATGCTATACTTTCAAAATGATGTATTTTTCAGATTCCATGATTATTTTATGCATATTTGCATATTGTAACCCTAATTTTTGTTGTTCATTACATAATTAAATAAATAAAAACACTTCAGTCTGTAAAATAAACAATTTTGTATGATTTCAACAGATTCAATAAAAACTGGATCACTATTAAAAATTTCAAGTCAAATGTAATAATGGTTCAAAAATATCAAGGTTGATATGCCCAATTAGTTTGTACATCCCTTTTTCTGTAATTTACTGACCGGTCTGTAATTTATGCAATGATTTTACTGACTGGTCTGTAAATTATGCAATAATTTTCAAATTATGCATTTATTAGATTCCATGATTCCTTTATGCATATTTGCATTGTGCAACCCTAATTTTTTTCTTCATAACACAATTAAATAAGTAGAAACCCTTCAGCCTGTAAAAAGTAATAACGAATAAAAAGTTATTCAAAAGTCAGTATGACCCCAAAAATATATTAATTAGTAAAAACCCTCGGTCTGTAAAATAGATGATTCTCGTTAATCACGACAGATTTTTAAAAAAAAAATTTTTGGAATTTTATATCCCTATAGTTGATTGGTCACTATAGGAAATTTTAAGTCAAATGTATTATTGGTTCAAAAGTTATTCAAAAGTCAGTATGACCCCAAAATATATAAATTAGTAAAAATCCTTAGTCTGTAAAATAGATGATTCTTGTTAATCACGACAGATTTTTTTAAAAAAAATTTTGGAATTTTATTTCCTTATAGTTGATTGGTCACTATGGAAAATTTCAAGTCAAATGTATTATCGGCTCAAAAGTTATTCAAATGTCAATAATACTCTCATTTTCGGTGCCATTTCGCAGTAAATTTTCCATACTTAAGCCCTATACTTTTTGTCAAAAAATCACCCGTTTTTTCACTACAAAAAGGTCAATAACTTTTGATCCGCTTAACTTCAAAGGCCGAATGACCCCTCATTTTTTAAGTCAAACCAAGTTCTATACAATGACATCAATTATATAAGAATAATTTAATTATAAAAAAATCGTGTGTAATGGCTATCTATTGCTTTGGAAAATATCAAGTAAAAAAAAGTGGTATGTTAATAAGTGGTATGAAGCTATGAAGCTAATAGGAAAAGCTGAGGTCATTTTTTAAAAAGTTAGAAATACCATGTGTGAGAAAAAGTTAAATATGTTATATTATCATTTGCTCAGAAATTATAAGGATGTTAGCCAGCTCAATGCACAGTGATTTAGAAACATTAAAATTACAGCCCAAATACAGTTTTTTAAGTAGTACATTTTAAACAATGTTATTAGCTAACTATTTTATTGCAGTTTCTTATAATTTTAACGGTATAAAAAAATAACTTCTGAAATAAAAATTTAAACGTTAATTTATTGTTAAAAACGAATGAATATATATATATATATATATATATATATATATATATATATATATATATATATATATGCATGCAAAAGTTTTCTTTCACATATGTATAAAATGAATATAAAAATATACTAAACATTAACTTTATTTAGTTACGAAATACAAAATTTAGATTGATAAAAATGAATTAGTTGAAATTTTATTTTTTGATTACATTTTTTTTACAAAAAAAAAAATCTTAAAAAACCATATTTGACCCTATTTTAAAGATTCATGGTCTTCTTTCCTTGTCTACCTTTATACACCATTGAGCAATTTTCAGCAATTTTAAGTATTTTTAAAAAAATTTATTTTGGCCTAATTTTAAGTTATTACTGATCACTGTGCAATGGTACCAATTATACCTCATCTTTTTTTTTTTTGAAGTTTTTTTTGAAGTAACAGGACACTTTTAATAAAATTCCCACTATCACAAAAACACAGTAAAAATTTTAGTATTGTTTAGTATAAACATTCAACAACATGAAAACCCTAAAAATAGCACCTTTTTTGATATAAGACTGAGCAACTTTTGACAAAACAGTATCAACATATTAGTCAATGGGAGGAAGTTGTATACAGCAACAACACTTAAACAGTTTATTATTGATTTTTGTTTAAATAAAAGTCTGATAAAAACACTACAAACTTATTCTCCAACAAAAAATAAAGTTAATAAAATTAAATAAAATGTAGTGAAAAATGGTTTTAACTTCTTAAAGTTTTAAACCAAGTTGCAATCTTTTTATTAAAAAAAAAATATGTATTTAATCAAAATATGTGTTTTTTCAACTGCCGGTGTAATAAGTTTAAAATTTTTTTTTTACTTAAAAAAAAAAAAAAAAAAAAAAAAAAAAAAAAAAAAACAATAAAAAATAGACAATAAAAAATAGACAGTTAATAAAAAATTAACAATTAATAAAAAATAGACGATAAAAAATAGACAATTAATAAAAAATAGACAATAAAAAATAGACATTAAAAAAATAGACAGAAAATAGACAATTAATAAAAAATAGACAATAAAGAATAGACAATTATTATAAACTCGTTATTTATATTATTGTTAAGTCATTATTGTATAATTTAATTTAAAAAATTCAATATTTTTTATTATTTTAAATCAATTTTAATTAACTTTAAATAAATCAATTTTAATTTTAACCTGTGCATGATAAGGGTCAGTGCTTCTATAAAAGTAATTGTCTAACAAACGTAAATCTTCACGATGATCTGGCTTTTTATTCAAATTAATTTGATGAAAAGTATTTATTTGAGCTACCAACCCTAAAACCATCAAAACAAAAATCATTTTTATTGTGTGTATAAATTAATATGTAATATGAATGATTGTTAAAAACATAAAGAATTATTATTTTTTTGTTAATTTTATTTATTGTTTTTTTTTTTGTCAAAAAGAAAGGAAAAAGTATGATTGTTAAAAAGTGAGAAAACTTTTTAATTAAAAAAGCAATGAAGAAAATCCTAAGAAATAAATAAGTCTTTATTGGAGATATTTGTTTTGAAATTCTTAAACAAGCAACCATTAAATAAAAAACTTTATTTGTTTTGTTTTTTTCTTAATTTTTCTCTTTTAACAATTTAAACATATCACTTTAATATGTATATGGGAGCCTGGGTCTAGTCAAAACACTGGGTTTGTTAAAACATTGAACTTTTAGCAAACAGCAAAAATCTGAAATACTATAACTAAAAGACTTTTTAATAATAAAAACCATTAAAAACACTAGAATAGTTGACATATTTAGATTAGTTGACATATTTAGAATGAATTAATTTTGAAGTAAAATAAAATTCTTTGCATTAGGAAAGTTTGCAAGACAATCAAGCTAGGGTCAGAGACAATCAAAAAAACAAATCAAATAGTAAAAGAACTTAGAGTTGTCAAGAAAACAAGTCACAAAGTTAACTATCAGAGTAAGATGTCAAGAATGAAAAAAAATTTAAGCTTCAGTGCCAACAAACGTAATAGCCAATCAGTAGGCATCAAAGCCATCAATAATAACAATATTGACTGAAAAAGAAATTTATTAAAAAAAAGGCCAAGTCAATTTGATCTTGTGGGTACAACGCTGAAAATCACACAACCAAATTTAAGATGGTCACAAGATCAAGTAGGTGATTAAAATTTGTGATTAAAAATTACAAAGAGGAAGTAGGAGATTTTTGCAAGAGGTTCAATGGTGGATAGTTACTTTAAAGACCACAAATATTTGCAAAAGAAACATTTTGGTGATGATGGGTTTTTTTTGTTTAATATTTTAATTAATAGCTAAGTTGAGTTAATTATAGATACTGCATTGCCCTAAGCAATACTGGAATATATAACTGCAACAAACGATTAGATAAGTTAATGGAACTGAATCAAACTACTGGAACATATTACTAATAAATGTAAATGTTTTTACAGAGCATTTAAAAACAAGTGGACAAAAAATCAACAAAGGAGGTCCCAACTAAGGAGGTCTAAGGTTCAATAAGCCAGAATTGAAGTTAAGAATGAAGCCCCCAGGCCTTCTTAATTTAGGCTTCAGCTATTTACTTAATCAGTACTTAATCATATTACAATAAATCAGTTGTTTATAAAAGTTTACAAAATATATTATTTATGAAAAATTATTAAAAATATTAAAAACCTTTGCTAAGTCGAAATGATCCCAAAAATACAGGATCTGCTTCTTTGTTGAATGATGATATTGGAAATGTACTAAAAAAGAGAAAACTTTTAGAAAAAATATTTCTTATAAAATTACTTTAAATATTTGTATCTTTAATAAATACATTTATTAAACATATAAATCTTGCAGAAACCCATATTAGAACTTAAATAGAACTTAAAAAACATTTAATTTTAAAATCTAATTTTAGGCCTTTTTTTTAAATATATGTTTTAAAATACCAGATTTTCTAAAATTTTAGAATATATATTAGAAAAGATATTACATTCTATATTTTAAAGAATATAGTTTAACTATATTTTGGTATATTTTTAATGATACATTTCTGCAATAATTTCTAGGACATTTTAAAAGATTAACT